TCATTTATCTCTGATTGTTGTTATAGTGCTGTGAGTAAAGAAAATAGATTAATGATTTTTCTCATCAAGATTAAATTGGGTATATCATATTCAGCTATTGGAGTATTATTAATGCGTCCATATGCCGGAAAAAATTTACCACTAAAGAAAAGAGTGTTTAGCTATAGGCTTTCAAGAGCTCGTCGATTTATTGAGTGTGTTTTTGGTATTATGTCTAATAAATGGAGAATATTTCATAGGCCATTAAATGTATCCGAACCATTCGCTGAAAATATTATAAAAGCGTGTGTAATATTACACAATTTTGTTCGTGTTCGAGATAGTAATTCATTAAGGTTTGAAAACACATTATCATATGAATGGTTTCAAGATGAAGATGAAAGAACAGACCACTATTCAGGAAAAACACCTACTACAATTCGTGATAAATTTGCTGATTACTTTATGGGCGAAGGAAGTGTTCCTTGGCAATTAAATAGCATAAATAAGTAAAAATATAATTTAATTTTAAGTGATATAAGTAAAATAGTTAAGTAAAAAATAAATTAAACTATTAAAGTATAATATTATGTATGTATTGCCTATTTGTTTTGAATAAATTAATACTTTCTTAAAATATAATGTAAATGTGTTATATGAATACTTACAAACTTCTTTTTGTTGCCATTGAGTCATATCCTTCATGGAATAATCGACATATTTCCAGCCATGAGTTTTGTTTAATTATTTTATTTGCATAATTAGGACTTGCTGTATCCCACAATTCTACACGCTTCTCAATTTCGATTATAAATTTGTCTGTATCGAGACTCATTGTACACAGTGTCATATTTTACATAAAACTATATAAGTTTTTCGAAAAATACTGTAATACGTTATATTATAACGTGTTCACTAATTAAAAAATAATTTTACGTAATTTAAAAATCTAAATAATCTGGAGGCCGCGACACGCGACACTCGTCTGAACGTACTAATTTAATTTAATTTGTTATCAGTGGCTCGGACACAGACACAGTGTCCGGCGGCTAGAGAGGACGGGACACGCAACTTCAGTGGCGCGACACACACTCCGTGTCTGTGTCTCGTGTGTACGAGTGTATTTATAGCAATGTTATCTTAGTCGCGCGATTCTTTTCAGACACAAGTAGCCGGCCACCAAGTGTCTCGTCTGAAAGCGCTCTTATACACCATCAAAAGCGCCGCCGCCACTTCTTGCTATCGGCTTACGCCCACGATCGGGGTAGCGGGTCCATGTATACAGCTAGTATACCATAATCATAGAATACAGATTTGACCATAACTTATAACGTATGTAAGAGTGGACCTCGAGACGTAATCGTAATGATTACTGATAAGGCAAAATGAATAAAATAAAAATACAATATTATAATATACCTATTATATACATTATAATACCAAATTTATAATATAAAAATAGTTGTTATATTAGAATAACTGAATAGCAATAAATAATATGATATTGCATAGTTTATACATAATTTAGTATTGTCAGTAGGTATAATAATATATAGCCTTATTGTTATAGTACCGGATACCTATATACCTATTATATTGTAGGTATTACAATTTACAATCGTTACAATTCTTAAAAATCTATAACATAAATAATTAAATAATATATATACCAACTACAAAATCAAAACTAGGTATAGTGTAAAAACTATTCAAATTGCAATATATAGTACCTAATAAAACATAAAATGTGTATTATGATATTAGGAAAGGCCTAACTGCCTAAGTTAAAATACAATGTGGCAACCATATAATAGGCACGATTAATGATTAAAATACAATATCGGATGATGACATCCTAAGAGCTATTGAGCGTATCCATTTATCTCAAGATAAATTATTGGCAGGCCACAAATCCTTAGGTACTGAACTCAAATCGAGTATCAATGCTCTCACTTCACGTTTTGATGCCCACTCACTTGAAATCTCTGATCTCCGAACCAAAGTCGACTTACTAGAATCAAACACATCAAACTCATCAGCTGCGCCCTCCACCCATGTCTCAGATGTTCTACAAGAATTTACCGAACGAGAAGCTCAATGTTCTTATGTATGGTCTACTCGAATCCACGTCTAGTGATCTTCATACTAGAATTAACGACGATGAAATCATTGTACGGGATGTTTTTTCTAAACTCTCTGCTGATGTACACACTGAGTTCAAACTACTTCGCCTTGGAAAACCTACCTCTACCTCATCTTGACCCCTCAAAGTTATCTTTGGCTCCTGCGAAGCTGCTTCTGCTGTTCTTTCGTCCTATCGTCTCGCTAAAACCCAGAAATCGTCCCTTCTACCACTCACCAGCCGTGTACGTGTAGGGTGGCCAGATTTAATTTTTAGAAACCCGGGACACCAAAATTCATAAAAAATAGGTTACTATCTAGTAAGTATATACTATATAATTACATAGGTAGCTGTATATAACTTTTAGGTATAAATAATATTCAAATTAATCAATTAGATAGGCTATCTTTATTTTATGAACACTTAAAATTCAAATAAAAACAATAATACAATTTCCAGCCGTTAAGATAAGTATACTAATCTAGGTAGATTTTACTGATTTATTATTTTTTTTTATTTTTGTCGTCCAAAGAGACCTTATATTTTTCAGTGCTGTGTACTTTCTTCAGTAGTGTAGAATTTTTTATTATTTCATTGTAAAATTCAATGCAACTCAATCCATATGTTTTTGTTATCAGACAACATTCTATTGTTTTAGTATCMATTTGATTTCGAACGTCAGTCTAAGTAGTTGTCATTAACGAAAATACTCGCTCTATTGACGCGTTTGACCCCGGTAAACAAAATGCAAACTCTACAACCATTGCCAGATTTGATACATTTACATCTTTTTCTTTAAATATGTATATTAAATATTTGTACCCATTTTTGTTCTACTAAAACAACATTTTTTGTCCAGTCATCAAATTTGTCTTGAAAAATGTTTATAAAAGCCATAAACTCATCAAAGTATTCATCTTCATTAACTTTAACATATTTTGATAACATCTTTATTGTATTTTTAGCATTATTCCATGTAACTGTATTTTTGTTTGTTAAGTGCAACCAATTTAATTCAACCATTAGTACCTGGTTAGGTAATGTCCACTTTTCAATATAAGATTACGATATACATAAATCGTAAAACTTTTGACAATTTATATCAAATTCTTTTTTAACTAAATAACCCTCTTCTTCAATAGAATCAATCATTATCTCCATTTTAGTATTAATAAAATGTTCATTCTTTCTGTTTTTTAAGTTATTTAATAAACTGTTTAATATATCAATTAATTCAAATGCCGAAATTTTTTCCCCTTCAATTTTTTGAATATARTTATTGAACAGTTTAAGCATACTTTGTATAAATTTCATATATAATAGAGCAGTGACGTTTTGAAAAAAGTCAACCAATATCTTAGGACTCGAATCTTGTGAAAGAAAATACGACTTTAGGCCATCAAACATTAAAATAATTCTGTCAATTGCAGGAGACAGCGATAGCCATCTAGTTTTGGCATGTGATAAAATATCACGGTATTGGACATCAGCAAAATTGCAAAATTCTATTAATTTTTCTACCCGCACTGTAKAAATGTGGAAATATCCAAAAAGTTTAACTGTAATAGCTTCTACGTCAATAGGTAAATTATCTGACGCGATTTGTACAGCGTTATGTAGAATATGAGCGTTGCAACTTAATCCAAGTATATCTTTTTTTAATTCTGTCTGAAGTTTTGTGTACACGTTATTTTTTCCTTTTCTATTTAATCCACCAAAATTAGTGTTTGTGTTATCAGCCGATAGTGCAACAATTTTTTGCTTTAATCCGAATTTAGTAAGAACGTCAATAATTTTAGAAGTAATTAAATCAGACGTTTCACCGGGCAAATTTGAGAACTCTAGTATTTTGTTTTTTACACCAACATGAGGCAAAAAATAACGAACAACAACAGGTACTAGTTTAATTGCTTTGTGGTGGGAACCGTCAACTAAAACAGATATATAATTCGCAGAAGATAGTTCTTTTAAAGTATTATCAACTATGTACGGGCAAATAACGTTGACAACTATTTCCCTGGTTTTTGTTTTTGCACACGTGAATTTTTTGTCGTTTAAACATTGACGAATCAGTTCCGATGTACAAGTCATAGAACGAAAACTGTGATTGTGAATTACTGTATAATACACAAAAGTAGCTTCGCGGGCGGCTAACAAAAAATCATTTTCAGTAGGAACCAAAGCAGAAAAATAGTTGAAAACTTTACCAGATTGAATCGATGAYCTTGTAGCTAACTTATGTTTTTGCGTTTTAAGGTGATCGTTTATGTCCGATCGTCCACCATGACTTACTGAAAAAGTTCCATGGCAAGTTGTACACTGTACATTGAAATCGTCAGTAGATTTAAGTTTTTTAATAAATGGGAAATCATCTTGCAACTTTTCGTTAAAATGACAAAGTCTTTTAGGCGGCATAGTCACTACGTAAAAATATGAACTGTATAAAATTACGACACTGTAAATTATAAATACGAACAAAACTGTTGATAAATATTGCACTCGCAAACAACTTGTATCGTCAGCAAATAACTGTTAAATAATTTATAATGTATTGACTATAGGTAAACTATACATTCTGTAGTATAATCTTTCGTAACCGTAATACTAGAAATTTAAAATCATAATATGGTTTTTCCCGATTGAAAATTAATTATAACTGATTATAACTGCAATTGTCGTACATTCGGACGTTCGTTATCGAAATAATATACGATTAGGATTTGTTCAAAATAAAATCGATAACCGAGTAAGTAAAAGAATACCAATTTAAAAACGGTTTTAATTTCCGGGACATAACTATGCAAAAGTCCAAAACCGGTAYAAATCGGTGTCCCGAGAACTTTGTCTGGGACGCCGGGACATGGGTTCCTAAACCGGTAACGTCCCGGGAAATCCGGGACGAATGGCCACCCGTACGTGATAAAACTATACTTGAACGTCAACAACTTCGCACCTGTCGAGTTAGATCACCGTGTAGCAGCGGGAGAACATAATCTAACCATCACTCTTAAAAACAGTTACCCGTGCATAATTTCCCTTTCAAAAAACGACGTCCGACTCCAGCAACGCACTCTATCATAAACAACACCAACACCCACAACACTTTCAACCTCAATGGATACTACCAGAATTGTCGCGGCCTTCGTACTAAACTTGTTAATTTCAATTGTAATACCTCATGTTTTAATTATGCGTTTATTGCTCTTACGGAAACTACAACATATTTAGATGTGACAGGTCTCCACAAACCAGCTCCTATAATCGTGGTGGCGGTGTATTAGTGGCTATACGTAAGGACTTACCTTCCTCTCCCCTTTTTATATCTAACAATAGTGTTGAGCAATTATTTGTTCGCTTCTCTCATAACTCCTTAAATATTATTGTTTGCAGTGTTTACATACCTTCTTCACCTATTGAGCTTTATAGTACGCATCTAAATACTATTTATTTTATTGTTCAAAAATACCCTAACCACAGTCTAATACTAACTGGCGATTACAATCTACCATTTATTTCATGGTCTAATGATGCGCATGGACTGTGTTTCCTAACTCAGTCCCTCTCTGAATACACTTCCATTCCTGAAAGACTTGCCATCCATGGGTTCTACCAACATAACTACATATTAAACTCTCACCATTCTCTTCTCGACCTCATATTCTCTAATCATAGCTCCTTTACTGTAAATCATGCTCTTGAGGCAGCAGTTCCTGCAGACCCTTACCATCCCCTCTCTCTCACTCACTATTAATCTCCTCGTACACTTTCCCCAATCTGTTCCCATAAAATCATTTTATAACTTMAACAAGGCAGATTATATACAGATCTTTCAATTTTTTAACTCTTTCAATTGGAAACTTACCTTTCAGTCATACTCCCCTGATGATTCCATGTCTGTCTTCCTTGATGCTCTCCTCTATTCAATTGTATCCTTTGTTCCTAAAATCTCTTTAAAACCTTCCAAATTTCCGGCATGGTACACAAAAGAACTCAAAGAATTAGTGTTTGCCAAATCTCGCGCCCATGCTAAATATAAATCATCTCAGCTACTATCGAATTACAAGCTTTTTTCACTTCTTCGTGCCAAATTTAAATTCATCTCCAAGCAATGCTATAGTAACTTCGTCTCTCGTACTGAGTCTTCCCTACTACGCAACCCACGATATTTTTGGAGTTTCATTAGAAAAAACCGCTCTACTCTTTCTATACCTTCAAGTGTCACACTACATAGTAAACAAAGTATATCTCATTCTGATGCAGCTAACCTGTTTGCTACATATTTTTCTTCTGTGTTCACCCAGCCATCTCCAGCCTCATCCCAAACATCATGCTCAATAAGCCATTTTACACTCCCGTCTAATGCCCATTTTTTGATTAGTAACGTCTACCAATGCTTATGTTCCCTCCGTAATATAAAGTCTGGATGGTATCCAGGGAGATTTTTTATATAAACTACGGTCTGTTCTATCAGAACCGTTATGGTTATTGTTTAGGCGTTCTATTGATTCAGATATCTTCCCGTCTGCCCTTAAACTCGGCTCAATTAGACCAATATTGAGTCCAGTGATCCTACAGATGTTACGAACTATCGTCCAATAACTATCCGACCTCATTTATCCAAATTATTTGAAACACTTGTACTTAACTCGATTCGCCCTTCCTTGAATCATATTCTAATTGATGAGCAGCATGGCTTCCGGGAGGTTGAAATTTAAAATTCCCAACAGTTTTCAAAAGCGCCAGGAAAAACAATAAAGAAATTAAAGAAAAACGTGAATTTTTACGCAAAATAAGTTTTTGGTTTATGGTGTAACTCTATTACAAATGACCGTAGATACAATATGACAATATTTCACTCAATATTTATATTCTCATTTTCTAAACACCATACAATTTTGAAAATATTTTGACACTTTTTGAGCTGTTAACGGACTATTTAAAATTTCAATTTTTTAGTTTTTTTTTTTTATATATAAATATGAATAAAATTATATTTGTTGGGCTAAAAAGTGTGAAAATGTAATCTAAGGTTCCTGATATATGGTTACAATAGCATTTGAAAAATTTTAAAAATACATACACACATAACACATGTCTTTTTAATGGATATACATTAAAATATAATAGATATACATAATATCTACTGGATATACATGGATATCTATTATACATATTTTAGATATCCAAATGGCCGCTGTTTTCAAATATTATGGATATCCATCAAAACATATTATACAATATCCATCTTAATACACTTTTAGATATCCATTCAAAACAAAATAGGTACATTAGATATTTAGTCATGTCTATTAGATATTAATCCAGTTGAAATAAGGTATACCTTAGTCCAGAAAATCTGAACTGTCCAGGTGAAAACTGGACGGTTGACAACCCCACTCAACAACGACACCTGATCTCACATGCACATTTTATACATATGTACATTTATACATAAGTTCAAAAAACGGTCAACTATTTCCGACTAAAAACGTGAAAGAACGCGGAGCGATAATATATAGGTAAACAACTTATTTTTGCTATAAAGGTAATAATTGTTATTAATTTTAACCTGAACAAAATCGTTATTGCACTGTATAATGATAATATGCTGTATTATATTTTTAAATAAAAATTATCGTTATTGGTCGGATAATAACGACATAGTTTATCTCCCAACATGCATAATTTAAAAAAAAAAACATTAGCAGCAATTTAAAATCCAATACTTCTTTAAATAACAGTTGCCCTCCTCGTTATACACCAAAGGCATAGTAGTTGGTATTAACTTTGTTAAATAATAATTTATTTAAAATTATACGGGGTGATTCTTTTATCATTGAACACTCATTATTTAAAAAAGTATTTACTTTTTTCAAAATATTTTTTTACATAGTTTCAAGTTGTTAAAAAACCAACGTTCATCATTTTTTAAGTTTTTTACTTTTTTGAATCACAACATAGAGTTTTAATWTCATATTCCAAAGCAGAATATTTTTCTAAKTATTTTGATACDTAAAAATCGAATTTTGGACGAGTAGTTTATGAGTTATAAGTATTTAAAGTTTTGATTGGCGGAGTGGAGTGGTATGGGGTTACCCCGCAAAATGTTTGTCCACTACTCCGCTTGTCTAAACTTAAATTACTTATAACTCATAAACTATTCGTCCAAAATTCGATTTTTACGTATCAAAATACTTAGAAAAATATTCTGCTTTGRAATATGAAATTAAAACTCTAGGTTGTCATTCAAAAAAGTAAAAAACTTAAAAAAAATTATAAGGATAAAAAATATTTAAAAAAATAATTTTTTAATAAAAACGTTGTTTTTTTAACAACATGAAACTGTAAAAAAATATTTTCAAAAACATTGATACTTTTTGAAATAATGAGTGTTCAATGATAAAAGAATCACCCGGTATATTATGGTATTTATTTATCTATAGATTCTAATTGCATAAACATTTTTGAAAAACACGCGATCAGTGACTCAGATTCAAACCATGATGTCGATGCCTCCAATATTGATCATGTTGAAAAAAATACTGGTGACTTCCAACATTTAGGTAAATTAAATATTATTATATAAAAGAACTTCAGCAAAATGTATGCAATTTCACCACTTAATAATTAATATAGTAAGTACCTACTTAATATTACCTACTTATATTTACTCATTTACTATTAATGTATTATTTTTGCATACTTTATTAACATTATATTTATTTATGTTTAGTCATAAATAATGAACAGTTACCCGTTGACAATATTATACCAGATTTAGATATTGAACAATTACCTATAGAAATAGTACAAGAGGACAATGCTAGTACATTCATCCCAGATTGCAATGTAGATGTAAATATTCCCAGTATTTCAAAAAGATCATCAATGAGAAATAAAAATAACCCATTGCCTCAAAATTTTACTAAACAGACATATAAACCTCCAAAAAAATCTCCAGAATTTTTTAACTTAAAATGGAAAGATGGTAGTTTTATATCACCTGATCAAAATTTAGTATTCAAAGAAATCTGACAGTATATTAGATTTAGATACACCTTTACAATTTTTCACTTATTTTTTCAATGAAGAACTTATGCAAAATATTGTAAATGAAACTAAGTTATATTCCATTCAAACAAATGTTAGTAAACCTATTAATTTATCAATGATTGAGTTCAGAAGGTACCTTGGAATTCTTATATATGCTTCTGTTTTTCCTGTATCTAATGTAAGAGACTACTGGAGCGTTGAACTTAATTTTTCTCAGATTGCTGATGTCTCTAAGGCGCTATGAAACTATTCATCGGTTTCTACATTTTAATAATAATCACACTATGCTCTCCAAAGACAATCCTAGTTTTGATAGATTACATAAAATAAGACTTCTTATAGAACATTTAAATACAAAATATTCAAGTGTTCAATGTAATCAATATTTATCTGTAGACGAACAGCTTTGTGCAACAAAAGCTAGAAGTTATCTAAAACAATATCTTCCTGACAAATCACACAAGTGGGGCTACAAATTATTTGTATTGTGTGATGATGATGGGTTTTCTTATAAATGTGAGATATTTACTGGTCAAGAAAATTGGGAAAAATTTCGGTTGCCAAATGAACCAGATTTAGGGGCAAGTTCAAATGTAGTAGTCAGACTTACCAGAAATGTACCACAAAATAAAAACCATAAACTTTATTGTGATAATTATTATACCAGTATACCTCTGTTTGAGTTTTTGTATCAAAAAGGTATATTAGCTTTAGGAACTGTACGGTGTAATAGAATTCCAAATTGTGAACTTTCAAATGATAAATATATAAAAAACCTAAAAAGAGGAACATCAATTGATAAAGTATCATCATATGGAATCGTGCCATTRWCTTTAGTTTTGTGGAAGGACAATAAAGTGGTTACACTTTTATCCACATATTTTGGGAAAGATCCAATTTCTGTTGTAAAACGTTATGATAAAAAGATGAAAACTCAAATAGGAGTAGATTGCCCATTTTTGATTAAAGAGTATAACCGTCATATGGGTGGTTTGGATTTACTTGATAGTCACATAGGCAGGTACAAAATTAAAATTAAGTCTCGCAAATGGTATATGAGAATATTTTACCATTTTAGATATGACAGTGGTGAACTCATGGATTCTATATAAAAGAGTTTGTAAAGCTAAAGACATTGCTCCCAAGTTTACTTTGGCTGGTTGGAGAAAAGATCTTGCTTACACATAGTGTAGAATTGGTGAAGTAAGACCGAAAAAAGGTAGACCCTCTACACCCAACTAGCACCAAAATGTCCATAGCTTATGAAATGAATATTCATCTTGGTCATACAGAATATTCATATCTTATTTTTGAATGGTCTATCAATCTGATAATTTAATCCGAAAATGGTCAAATGCGCCACGTTTAATCATTCTATGAATATGCTATCAATGTGCAATACGCTATCAATAGTTTTGATGTATTATTCATAGTA